CGGCTCCGGACCCGAGCTGTTTTGTAACAGCTACTGCCTGGCCCGGGGCTTCTCCGAGAGACGCCCGGCTCTGAAACGGAAAGCTGCTGACAGGAAGGGATTTTTCTGCCGTGTGGCGAGCCAAATATCCGAGGGTCCTCCACGAGTGGACGCCGACCGCTGAAATGGGACCCACTCAAATGAGTTTTGTTTTTTTTGTCTCTCCTTCTCTTCCTAGGCTCCTGAGTCATGCAATAATTTAGAAAAACTTGCCTTTTCCTCTTCCTTTCTTAAAAAGAGGCACTTGATTATCAACGTGAATTTCTACGTGATCTCTCACATTTATGACAATAGCAACTTATTTTACGGAGTCCTTGAGATGGTGGGCACTGAAATCCCAATAACCCTGTTAGAACCGTGATCGGCCCCATTTCACAGAGGGAGGAAAAAGAAACCTAAGGGAACAAAGGTTATTGCGCCCGGGGTTATGGTAGGAAAAAAAAAAAAAAAGGCAAAGCCTGAGTTCAAATTGCCTGTAGGCTTTCCAGGGTCTGTTCATAGGAGTACATCTCTGCGTAGCTTTTTTTTTTTTTTTTTTTTTTCTCCTTGTTCTTTGAACAAAGGAGGAGCTCACTGCAAGTGAGACCTCCCTTGGCACCGGTTCAGAGCGCTGGCTTGCTTCTTACTGCCCCTGGTCCTTCATCACACTTGGAATTGTTTCTTCGGTTTTGCAGCAAATGACTCATCCCAACAGGAGACACAGTTCAATAATAATAGTACAACTTGGCGTCCACACAGCACCTTTTTTCCTGACCAGTTTTGGGTGCTGCTGAAGCATTGTCTCATCCATCTTCCTGGTGACTGAAACAAGCAAATGATCTTTTTCACCCTTTAAGGAAACTAAGGCACAGAAAGAGTAGATGCCCTTGGCCAAAGCTCCCAATGAGACTGCATTTTCTTTGCTCCCCCATCTTCTGACTCCCCAAGGCCATACGTCTCTGGTGAAATGGAGACTGCAATTACTGCTATAATTTTCCTGTCCATCTGCATACGCAGGAGGAAAAAAATACCCTCACTGTAATGCTTTCTCTTTTGGGTTCCTTTGTATTCTGCCCTTTCATTTCACTCCTTATTACTTCTTGACATCTTATCTCCTGCCCAGTCTCTGGAAAATATGACTTCTTCTTCTTTTTTTTTTAAATCAATGAATAGTTAGTAGGAAATGTCCCACGTTAGCAGCAGTGGCCACTGGCATAACGCAGCAAGAATATCAAGAGCTGTTGACTTTCTATTCTGTTATTGCTACAAACTTAAAATTCTCCTAAATACTACAATGGCTTTATGGGTTTAGTGCTTGTTAGTCCAAGATCTGAAAGTCTGCACCCTACTGAGAAGTCTATAAATTGGCTGTGTGCTGTGCTGAGATTCTATTTCGTTTTGGATCTCTTGATACTGCAAGATGCATTCATTGAAGGCATATTCGCAAAAGGCAAAACAGATTCACTAATATATCTTTAAAAATCACAACCAAGCTTTAAGGGTGTAGTTCAACTATAAGAGTACTTGTCTACATGCTCTAGGTTTAATAACTGGCTTCGGGGTCGGGGAGGCACAGAGAGGGAAGGGGGGAGGGACATTCACAGTGCTCAAATAGTAATCTAGAATCTATTGTTGGTTTTGCTTTTTGTTTGTTGAGACAGGGTGTGGTGTATAGCCATGGCTGGCCTGGAGCTTGCTGGGTTGACCAGGCTAACCTCTAAGTCAAAGAGATTTGCCTGCCTCTGCCTCCAGAGTGCTGGAACTTACCACTCCCTGTGTAATCTAGAATAAATATCTAAAAATAATTCTATGATATGTCCTCCAGTTTAAGGAAAGCAGCAAATAAAAAACTTAGTGGTATGTATATAAAGTGAGATAAGCTTTGATTAGGGTAAATAATAGCCCATATGACCTTCAGAGCCAGTAAAATCGACTTCATGGGCTATGATGCTGAGTGATCTTTTCTCAGCTTTAATGGGTAAAATTTTTATTTTCTTTGATCGTGCTTGTACGTCTGTGTATTTTCCCCATTGGAAGATAGGAATCATGCATGCCTTTTCCTGTCGCTGAGTCTCCAGAGTCTCCACAGCCTTGAGTCAGCTCTGGGATCATCAGTAGTTTAATTTTCTTCCTGATGCCTCAACCCCTCAATGGAGTTATTATCCAATAATACATCCCCTTCATCACCTCACACCTCTGCAGAGCTGAGTCAGGCCTAGCGCATATCCACTGTCTGCTTTTTATTGCCTGTCCTCATCTTTCCAGCCTGTGAGACTATTTGATTTCTTATTTCATGAGTCTGT